CTGGGCCACCAGCATATGTGCCTGTTTTTAAATCAGCTCCACTAAAGTGGTATTTCAGCCAATTCTGATATATAAATATCGGCCAGGCATACTAGTCTATCCCTACTCAGTTACAACTGTTTTTGCTAGTATTGCTGTGGTGGCCATCTTGAATTGCTAACTCTACACACACACACACACACACACACACACACACACACACACACACACACACACACACACACACACACACACACACACACACATGCGTGCACACACACACACACACACACACACACACACACACACACACACACACACACACACACACACACTCACTAGTCTAGCATTTGTTGTGAGGACTATCATTGACTTTCAGTCATTTAGTGACTGGATTGTGCCTAAAGCTTGGTTTATGCTTGACACATTTACTTTCCGCTTGGTGATGCGGCTCGCGGATGGAACGCGCTTCACAACTTGCAGCGTTTATGGTTCATGTGGCTTGTCTCTGCGGTGAGCCAATATTCTCCCAAACTGAACGGGGCAGCATGGAGCTCTACGGCATGCATCCAACACTACACCATAGTAGAAGTAAAAATTACTGTTGTTTACAACATGGCATTCCAGCATTTTTAACGGCGTTCTCGTCTTTTCCGACAGTGCGAGCTATTTCTCTCATAGAATTATTATCAACATGTTGATCACGGTGATCTTTGAGAGCTGAATCATAGAAATGTCTGTATTTACGAACCTCTGCCATACTAGTTCTTGCCAGTCCGCCATGTTTATCCGCGTCCGACCGTCCGCGTGGTTAGAAAATGGGCCGTGCGGAGGCGTGGTGGAGGGGCGTGGTTCTTAAAATGATGCAATTTTGCAGCGCGAACCTCGCGGACGCGTCAAGCATAAACCAAGTTTAACCCTAACCCACCTCTACATTGCCAATAAACATTCAGTAAAAATGAAATGAAGTGAAATTTGTAGTTGCAGATCTATTTCAAACATTTCTTTATGTAAAATGTGTGCACTACTTCCTGGTTATACTGTGAATTAACAGTTTGTTTAATTAACTCCTAACATTTTACCAATTAAACCATGCTGAACTTTTTTAACTCTGTTCAATATTACAAACAAACCAATTCATCAGCCTTAAAACACTCAAAATAATTTTCACACAATGAAAGGTTAACGTTATGATTAGATCATTTTTACTTTCATTGTGATAAACTATTAAAATATGCCTTCCTGTTGCGAGAACACTTGAGAAAAGTAGTCGGGCGGTGGTTAATGTGGCAACGCTGTCCAAGTGCTGGTAGGATGACTCATCTGAGCTCACACCTTCCTGATGTGCTGTTGCTCATGAGACAGGCTGATAAAAACAGCTTCCCTCTAGAATGGGGAAGTAGTTATGGGCTGGAACGTGAAGAACAGACGCATTTTTTTTGTTTGTTTGTTTGTTTTTCAACTTTGGCACTTAGATGAAAATGCATCATGACATGAAACCACTGGAGGCTGAAGAGTACAAGTTCACAGTTAACCATCGCAGGAGCACTCCAGTTGCCCCGGCGCCTATGACAGGGTGAATATTCGTTATGAGCGTTTCTGCTGTTTATCTTGGTTCCCTTATATGTGTTGCTTACCTGCGCTGCTGGTTTTGAGTAAGCTTGTTGAGCGGGACATTGTGTGTTATCTTTGACTACTGTGATGTTTTTTTATGATCAGAGTTGTCGTCGCTGATGTCGTCTTGCTACTCAGAGACTGAGCCATTAAACACCCTGAAAATGTCTTTGAGTCAAACTAAAGTTTCACTCTGGCTGAGTAGCAGCTGCCTCATTCACTTGAAGTGGGTTCACACATGTGAGTGTACTCTTGAGTCAAAGATGGCAGAATGTGAGGAACGCACAAACGTTTCATTGCTGGTGTAAGATTTACCTTCATGTCTGGTTTTAGCTTAAAGGTGTGGTTAACTGAAAAACATTGTTTAAATCTTGTTTCTGATTATAATCGATCACTTTGAGTTTTTCATGCAGTCTGAACGTGAAAACGATCTCCTACACCTCTCTCCTGCATTAGCTTCTGATAGAAAGTAGATGCTGAAACTCTAGGATTTGAAAAGCCTGACAGAAGAAGAAGAAGAAATAGTTTCTATAGCACCACTCAAGATAAAAATCAAGAGGCACTTAAAAAAAACAAAAAAAATGTAAAAATATAAAAAAGAATTTAGAAAATGGTTAAAATATATTTAAAATTAGCAAAAAATAGACAATTGTGATTAAAAAATGTTAAGAAAGAGAGAGAGGGAATAGGAAAGAGGGAAATCAGTGGATCCTGAGGAAGGTGGAATAGGTGGGGAGAGCAGAATAAAGAGAGAGTGGTGAAGAAGGCCATACAAAAGCCAGCTTGAACAAGTGAGTTTTCAGCTGCGTTTTAAAGGAGACCACTGAGTCCACTGATCTCAGGCTCAGGGGGAGAGAGTTCCAGAGTCTGGGGGCCACAGCAGCAAATGATCTGTCACCTTTGGTCTTTAGCCTGGTGCGCTGAACAACCAGTAGGCTTTGATCACTGGACCTCAGGGACCTGCTGGGGGTGTAGGGACTAAGAAGATCACCAATGTAAAATGGTGCTTGCCCATGTAAGGCCCTATAGACCAGAACCAGGATCTTGAAATGAACCCTGAAGTTGACTGGCAGCCAGTGAAGCTGGAGGAGAGGCGGGATGTGGGTGTGTTTGGAGGACTTGGTCAGAAGCCGAGCACAGGCATTCTGAACCACCTGTAGAAGGTTCAGGGAGGTTGTGCTCAGACACGTGAAAAGAGAGTTACAGTAGTCTAAGCTTGCGGAGATGAAGGTGTGGATAACTGTCTCAATTTCAGAGCGGGACAGAATGGGACTCAGCTTAGCAATGTTCCTGAGATGGAAGAAGGAAGAGCGAACAAGAGAACTGACATGAGAATCCAGGGTTAGAGCTGGGTCAAAGGTCACACCAAGATTCCTGACGGAAGGTTTGGTGTGAGAAGCAAGCTGACCAAGAGAGTCTCTGACTTTGGGAACCAGCTTGTCTGGGGCACAGATGAGGATCTCAGTCTTATCTTCATTCAGCTGAAGAAAGCTCCCAGCCATCCAGGTTTTGATAGAGTCTAAGCAGGTGTGTAACAGCTGCAGCTTAGACATCTCATGGGGCTTAAAGGAGATGTACAGCTGGATGTCATCTGCATAAAGATGGTAGGAGATTCCTTTGAAGGAGCTCAGGATGTGCTGAAGAGGAAGCAGATAGAGGAGGAAGAGTAGAGGCCCCAGCACAGAACCTTGTGGGACACCATGGGTAAGAGAGGTGGTGGAGGACCTAAACTTGGAGACGGCCATAGAAAAGGAGCGCTCAGAAAGATAAGAGAAGAACCACTCCAGAGCAGATCCTGATAGGCCTACCCAGTCTCTCAGCCTCTCCAGTAGCAGGTGATGGTCAACAGTGCTGCAGTCAGGTCCAGCAGGACCAGAACAGAACAGTCCCCTGCATCACTGTGAGTCAGAAGGTCATTGGAGACCCTAAGAAGAGCTGTTTCAGTAGAATGAGCTCTACAAAAACGTGACTGGAAGCTATCATAGATGTTATGTTCATCAAGAGCAGCTGTGAGTTGTTTAGCCACAACCTTTTCCAAGATCTTGGAGATGAACGGAAGTTTAGAGATGGGTCTGAAGCTGCTATGGAGAGAGGGGTCGAGACTCGGTTTTTTAAGAAGCGGGTGGATTACAGCGTTCTGAAAGTAAGCAGGGACCTGACCAGAAACCTGAGAAGCATTAATTATAGAGAGCACGCTGGGACCGATGGACTGAAAAGCATTTTTAAACAAAGATGAGGGTAAGATGTCGAGGGGGCATGCAGAGGTTTTCATAGAGTTAACTAGTTTGGTTAACTCAGGCAAAGAAACCGGAGCAAAGCTATCTAGGATGATGGGCCTGGTTGGAGTCGGCAGAGGCAGAGATAAGGCTGAAGGAGAGATGCTAGATCTAACCTTATTGACTTTGTCCACAAAGAAAGACAGAAAGTTCTCACAGTCTGCAACAGAGTGGATGGAGGCTGTAGGAGAGGAAGGAGAGACGATGCTGCTGATGGTGTTAAACAGCACTTTGGGGTTCCTTTTGCTCTGGGACACCCTAGCGTCTCTGACTGCAGAGTTAAAGGATGTCAGAAGATCCTTTAGGTGCAGCAGATGGACGTGGAGATGGGTTTTCTTCCACAAATGCTCAATTTTTCTGCAATGGCGCTTCGGGCTGTGAAGGCTGTCATTAAACCAGGGAGTAGGGTTCACTGCAGGAACTGATCTGGTTCTGACAGGACAGATGTTGTCCAGAATGGAGAGGCAGTGCTCGTTAAAACTGAGAAGTTAAGGAATCTGGGTCGTTATTAGAAGAACAGGGTGGATCAAAAGCAGCAGGAAAATTGCTAGCTGTGCTCTCATTAAGAAAACAACTACGTCACATTGTCACTTAACATTTATGGACTCACCCATCTTGGCTCATGACGGGAAAGGCTGTTGGTCGCTTAGCGTCCAGGAAAAAGCAGAGAACGTCTTGGCTATAGAAGCTAACTATTAGCATTAGCAACTCCACCACACAGCGGAACTCCTCCAGGTTTGTCTTATTTGCAGAGATAAAATATTGACATTGCAAGTTAGTTGTAGAGTCATGTTGCTGTTATCCAGTCCAAGACGAGATGTCCAAATATCAGGAAATAAGACTCAATATTCTGCTGTTTGAAGCTCAGCCTTGATGTGGTTCACTTCTAGTTCCTGAAAATGGTGCACCAGTGTTCAGTTCCTGTAAAAATTAGGTTGAGCACTTCTTCAGAATTTCGACCACCAGGTTCATGACTGACTTACTGTTGCATTCACGAAAAAATAATCAGAAATTACAAGGATTTTTTTATTGTTTTAAACATCAATTTAACAAAGAAGGACACACTTTTTTCCTATGAGGCTGATCTATGTTTCCCGTCATTATTTTCATACCTCTTCTCTTTTCATGCAGCTGTCACCTGATTTCCTCTTCGAGACCCACCAGAGAAATTCCAACTGTGGCTGGCAAGTGACACAGGTAAAGCTAATCTCCTCCTGAAGTTTTCTTTTTTTGCCCCAAGGCATTTAATGCATTCCACCTTGACTGTCACCTTGAAAAACAAAAGAGAGACAGACTTCTTTAACCAGTTTTACATGTTCTCCCTGAACAACAAAATGTATATGCCTAGCAAAACGAGACATCACAGGAATTTGATGACTTTGTTTGCCAGCTTGACTTTGTCTATTGATACAAATCTGCCTGGAGTTAACCTTGTGCACAACATTCACATCATGCACAAGGACTGAAAACTAAGTCTTTAGCTGACAACCCGTTGCATTGTGTTTGTTTTGCGTGCCTGACGGCATGGCTAATCCTAAGTATTTTGTTGTTGCTCAAAGAGCTTTTGATAGTGGGTATTAACTCAGTAGAAATCAAAGAACTCACATTTTAAATTTGCAAAACCTGCATCTCAACTGTATTACTGTAGAATACATTCAAATAATGCCAGCTATGCTCATTAGATTCTCAGCCATCAGCGTTTATGCACATTAAAGCAGTGAAAGAGCAACTCATGGTGCTAAAAGAGGCTGTTACTAAAGCAGTTCCTACTGCAACATGTTGCGTCACAGTGGGGTGTGGGTACACTTGGTTTAAAGCCCTTTTACAGCCAGGCTCTTTAGAGAGAAAAAAAGCAGATTTGGCTCTCAGAGCTAATCCTCCATGCAGGAGGAGATGCATTAGTAAGGATTTTTAGTCTGATTGTTAAAATTAGGATGCAGGGATTTGGAGCCTAATTATGGGTTTTGACACATTAAAAAGGTGAAGTTGCTAAAACGTCTGCATGTGTCTGCAGTCATACAGAGTTGTATGTATATGTAAGGAACTAGAAATGTAAAACATTTGCATGGAAATTCTGATTCTTGCACCGTGCATGTCTTTGTCTCCCTCTATACCACCTTAGTAAATCAGCTTGTCATCATTTGTTGATGTTAAGGGTTAGGTCTAGATGCCCACTGGATGAATGGTTTTATCATCTACAGTATGCATGGAATTTTAGACATTGATAATAAATCGGGTTGTGAAGCAGATGTGAATGTGAAAGAGATGCAACTGAAACATTTGTAATTTAGTTTATTATACAGTTCATAACATGTATAGTTAAGGTTTAAAGGTCTCTTTAAGACACATCTAACAGAATCAAACTCGGTCAGCGTGGACTTTCACTCATCTTGTCTTGATTCTACAAAGGCTGTCTCCTTCTCCCTACTTCTTAAGCCTTCAAAAAACACAATACACCTGTACTCTGAGATAATTAGGGTGGAGATGGCCCAAAAATCAAAAAGGTGCAACTATACATTTTTTATTATACGATCGAGCTGAACCTTTGTAGCTTTCTACATAAGATGAAGAATAATAAATCAGATGCTGCATTTTATTGCAGATGGTGAGTGGCTGAACCTAGAGAGATAATTTCTTCCTGCAACATTTCCAGTCAGAAATTACAACAAACCTGGAAGAAATGCAAAGATTGTATGGACTAGTTGTTCAGCTATACTCTAAAAGAGGACAGCCAGCTTAAAGTGAAGGTTAAAGAACAAAATAGATTAAAGCTGGACTGCATGTCTATTTGAGAATGCATGTCAGGTTTTTACATCTCTGTATAATTCACATATCCCTTTTATTTAAATGAGGTCTTATGCATATATTTAAAGAAAACCCTACCCGTATTTATTTAAATACCTGCTGTTTGCAACATGCATTCAGCATGCAATATTTACTGTCTCTTGAGAGCGGACATATCTTTGTCCTAGTTGAGGAAAAGGGTAAAAGAAAACAGGTTTCTGCTGGAATTACAGGTGCTGGCCAGTAAATTAGAATATCATCAAAAGGTTGAAAATATTTCAGTAATTCCATTCAAAACGTGAAACTTGTACATTATATTCATGCAATGCACACAGACCAATGTATTTCCGATGTTTATTACGTTTAATTTTGATATTTATAGGTGACAACCAATGAAAACATCAAATCTGGTATCTCAGAAAATTAGAATATTCCAAAGGCCAATGAAAAAATGTTTGTTTCTCTAATGTTGGCCAACTGAAAAGAATGAACATGAAAAGAATGTGCATGTATAGCACTCAATACTTAGTCGGGGCTCCTTTTGCCTCAATAACTGCAGTAATGCGGCGTGGCATGGACTCGATCAGTCTGTGGCACTGCTCAGGTGTTATGAGAGCCCAGGTTGCTCTGATAGTCGTCTTCAGCTCCTCTGCATTGTTGGGTCTAGCGTATTGCATCCTCCGCTTCACAATACCCCATAGATTTTCTATGGGGTTAAGGTCAGGCGAGTTTGCTGGCCAATCAAGGACAGGGATACCATGGTCCTTGAACCAGGTGCTGGTGGTTTTGGCACTGTGTGCAGGTGCCAAGTCCTGTTGAAAGGTGAAGTCTGCATCCCCATAAAGTTGGTCAGCAGCAGGAAGCATGAAGTGCTCTAAAACTTCCTGGTAGACGGCTGCATTGACCCTGGACCTCAGGAAACAGAGTGGGCCAACACCGGCAGATGACATGGCACCCCACACCATCACTGACGGTGGAAACTTTACACTGGACCTCATGCAACGTGGATTCTGTGCTTCTCCGCTCTTCCTCCAGACTCTGGGTCCTTGATTTCCAAAGGAAATGCAGAACTTGCTTTCATCAGAAAACATAACTTTGGACCACTCAGCATCAGTCCAGTCCTTTTTGTCCTTGGCCCAGGCGAGACGCTTCTTGCGCTGTTTCTTGTTCAAGAGTGGCTTGACACACGGAATGCGACACCTGAATCCCATGTCTTTCATGAGTCTCCTCGTGGTGGTTCTTGAAGCGCTGACTCCAGCTGCAGTCCACTCTTTGTGGATCTCCCCCACATTTTTGAATGGGTTTGTCGTCACAATTCTCTGCAGGGTGCGGTTATCCCTAGAGCTTGTACACTTTTTTCTACCACATTTTTTCCATCCCTTCGCCTGTCTGTTAATGTGCTTGGACACAGAGCTCTGCGAACAGCCAGCTTCTTTAGCAATCACCTTTTGTGTCTTGCCCTCCTTGTGCAAGGTGTCAATGATTGTCTTTTGGACAGCTGTTAAGTCAGAAGTCTTCCCCATGATTGTGGTGCCTTCAAAACAAGACTGAGGGACCTTTTAAAGGCCTTTGCAGGTGTTTTGAGTAAATCAGCTGATTAGAGTGGCAGCAGGTGTCTTCTATATTCAGCCTTTTCAGAATATTCTAATTTTTTGAGATACCAAATTTGGAGTTTTCATTAGTTGTCACTTATGAATATCAAATTTAAATGTAATGAACATTGGAAATACATTGGTCTGTGTGCATTGCATGAATATAATGTACAAGTTTCACGTTTTGAATGGAATTACTGAAATATTTTCAACCTTTTGATGATATTCTAATTTACTGGCCAGCACCTGTATGTCTTCCCAAAAAGAGGGCAGGTGTGTCAGGAAAAATATAATCCCTCGTTGCTTCCAGTGATGAGTATTAGACATTGTTCTACTAATAAACTGTCATGTTCTTCTGTACAATCAGATTTTTAAATTACAGAACAATTTAACAAAAGTGCTACACATTCAAAATGTCCCACTCTCCTTGTTAGGAGAGAGCCAAATCCACCCAATCGGCCAGAAATTAAATCAAGGATCAGTTTCTTTGTTTTATTTTTATTTTTTTTAAGTAAATGGTAATGCTGGTTTAGGAAAATGTCTGTTACTGATTTGGAATCTGAACATATGTCTTTGTTTTTCATTCGCGGAGATCTTCAGCTCTCTCTGAGGAAACGTTCTTCCCTCTGACATGTTTGTGCTATCATGATGCTTCTATCTGTAGATTTGGCTGTGAGAACAACGGCAGTCAGACCCTGAGTGCAACCTGCTCAAATCTGATAAACTTCATAGATCTGTTTGTTCCTGGATTTAATACTCAATGTTTCCTGTTATTCTTACACACTAGTACTAAAAGAGCAAAGCAAAGTCACCCTTATTAAAAAGTGGGTTATTGTGGGACTGAGGTAATGTGTTTTCTCATGATTTAGGGGCAGATCTTCTATCATTGAGATGTAAATAGTCAAGCTTCATAACTGCATAACAATAAAAATATCCTGCTGTCACCTGACATGAACCAAAATAAGAATATAAAAAATAAATTATATTGGCACAAGCACATAACCCTGTGGAACACCACGACTGCGTAAATTTGACTTCAATTCAATTCAATTCAATTGAAAAATACTTTATTGATCCCAGAGGGAAATTGGAGCCAGGCTGGTTCTGTTTCCTTAACCCATTGCCACATTCAATCAAGTTGTGAATTATCATACTGAATGCAACATTAATAGTTAAAAAGACACAATCAAAACTATTACCTCATCATATGTTATTTTATTTTTGGTCTCGTTTGTCTGTTGTTTGCCACCCAAACCTTTAACCTTAAAGAGCATGCAGCGTGCCATCTCCTCTGACACCCTGAGCACGATGGCATTCACTAATGCAACAACCCAGCGCCTTAACTCCTCATCCCTGCATGACACCAAGCTGCAACTCAGCCACTCACAGTCGATGATTCTGCCTGAGAATGGCAAGGTAACCACCTCCTGACTATGCACAAACATGTACACAAGTGCACAAGCTCATTAACTGCGAGCAATGTTTACTCAGAGAATCAAACACACTTTTTATGCTCAAAGAAATAGGACATAAGTGGACACAAATTCCCACAGATAATTGAGCACCACAGATGATGTTCTGTTTTTGTTTTGCAGCTGGTTCAGCAGCACAGAGATTATTCCTGCAAAACGATTGTTGTAAACCCGCCGTCTCCTCAGAGTTCTCCAGACAGTGAAGTCGGCACACCGGTGAGAAAGATGTTGCATTAAAAAAAAAGTAGCAGATGGTGAAATTATTTCTTCACAGTTGAGGTTATATTCACCTTACACGCAGGTCTGGAATCACACACAGGCTTCTGGGGGAGCCCCGTGACTCACGGGGCTCCCCCAGAAGTGCTCAGGTACAGGATAGCATCTTGCTAGCAAATGGTAAAATTTGGGCATTCTGATGTTTTTCATTCACAAAATAAAAAAGAATTGTTGGATCGGGGACAGGGGCTGCAGCTAAGGTAAGCTCATGTGAAAATCTGGGCCTGTCTGTGAGAATGCCGCAAGTCCAGTGCACACGGGGGGTGTCATTTTGTGTCCCCGTGGGTGTGTCAATTGAAGACTTCCAGGGGAGCCCATCACCCTTTCGGGACAACGGTAGCTCAGGTGGTATAGTGGGTTGTCCATAAGGTTGCAGGTTTGATCCCAGCTCCAACCAGAGAATGCTGCTGTTGTGTCCTTGAGCAAGACACTTAATCCACCTTGCCTGCTGGTGGTGGTCGGAGGGACCGGTGGCGCCTGTGTGCGGCAGACCTCACTTCTGTTAGTGCGCCGCAGGGCAGCTGTGGCTACATCCTAGCTCACCCCCACCAGCGTGTGTGTGAATGGGTGATTATGGCCATTTACCATTTCGAGGGAGCCGGGCCCACCCTAGCTCACCCATAATTCGAACCTTGCTCGCATGCTTTTCCCCTTTAACTCATCAAGGTTCTCCTGAGATGCTGCATCCAACAAAACAATTCCAAAGTGTTTTAATATTTTCTGTGTGCGCTTTCTTTGTGATCAAAGGCAGGTTAAATTTATTAACTAGATATGTTTAATGTTTTAGTCTGCCTGCAAATTTTATAGACGAAATCAATTCAGTTTGGTTTTTAAAAGCAGCAAATGACCCACCTCCAACAATTGTCCCATTTTCTTTTTTTTTTACAGTCTACAGTACACTGTCTCCCCATCAAGCCATCCTTAAATTAGCTCAGATATCTTTCTGACGGGAAATCTCCCTTCCATTTCGTTCCTCTTTATTATAAACTACTGTATTTAAAACTAATAGTAAAGCTTCAAAGTAAGTAATAAATCTCTCGCATCTCAAATTGGGCCATACCGCAGTGGGAGATCTCAGAGCAGCTCCCCTCCTCCTAGTTTTTGAATGATGCAACCGTCAAGTTAAATGGCTTGGATGCAGTACATAACCCAGAGAAACAAACTGTACGTAAGGACAAATATGTCCTCATAGACGTCGGTATATTCCAGCCATCTCCACCTTTTTCAAGTCACAGCATGAGTGGGAAAATATAAGTCAGTAATAGTAATGAGTGTTTTTGTTCTAGGAGCTGGAAAAAGCAGGCCTCTTGAACAAAACAAAGATTGCAGAAGGAGGCAGAAAGCTGAGGTGAAGCTGTGTGTGTGTGTGTGTGTGTGTGTGTGTGTGTGTGTGTGTGTGTGTGTGTGTGTGTGTGTGTGTGTGTGTGTGTGTGTGTGCGTGTGTGCGTGTGTGCGTGTGCGCACAGATTAAGACCAAAGCCACCATGACCACTATACAGATTGTGTGTTTTTGTGGGGTTGCAGGAAAAACTGGAGCCCTTCCTGGGTGGTTTTAGTCGGAAACAGTTTGGTTTTCTTTAAAGATCCAAAATCACAAACACCTTCCAGCTGGGTAAGAGCTCACGCAAACAGCCCACAAGCGATACAATAGTGTTCCAGTAATAAAAATAGCTTTCAAAATAATTCAAATAAGCCAAAGTTTTGTTTTTAGAGCAATTATCCAACTGCCATGGCTAGCATTTTGAATATTGGAGGTTTTACTGAATTGTGGATATTTTTTGAAACCCACATTTGAAATTGTGTGCATCATTTTAAAAGGATTGGCACTTTCAAAAAATATTTTCATTCTCTGACTTATAACTGGTCTTTTAGAAAAGTAGCACACATGTCATTTCTCATGTGTAGGTTTATGTTGAGGTCAATAGATTCAGACGAGATGAGGCAGAATTAGAGCTCTATACCTGTTTTTATTTTTTTTAATCTACTTTTAGACACAAATATGGGTCGAGTGTGTCAATGGACCACTGAGAAAATAAGAAATGTGTTTTGTGCTTGTGTTGATCCAACTCAGAAACCAGGAAATAGTCGTCCCGAGAGCAGCGTGGATTTAAGAGGAGCGCACCTGAACTGGGCCAATGAGCTGTCCAGCAAGAAAAATGTTTTTAAGGTACAAAAAAATAAAAAGTTTAAAATATCGAGCAGCCATTGTAAAACCCTAAATAATTTATTTTCATTTTTTCCCCCCAAAAATTCTGTGCTTATTTTGAGATTTTTCCATCCTTTTTTAAGTGCTTATCATGATTAGGAAAGCTGACTTTCATAATAAGAGTGAGGTCCATGCCACCCACATAAAGGAAATTAATGAATTGGAAAAATATATTATTATTATTATTATTATTATTATTATTATTATTATTATTATTATTCATTATTCATTATGCAACACATTAACACACAAAAAATGTCTATTTTTATCTTTAGTTGAGAACTGTCACCGGCAACGAGTTCCTGCTTCAGTCAGAAAATGACATTATTATCAAAGAGTGGTACGACACCCTCAAGAATGTCATTGACAAGCTGGTAAAACACACACACACACACACACACACACACACACACACACACACACACACACACACACACACACACACACACACGTACCAACTAATTTACAACCCCCCACTTTTCTCTTAGTAGTTCAAATGGATTCCCCCTTTAAAGTTTAGTTTGCAAACAGTCAGACTTTTATCATCCTTGCTTCAATTCTTTATTTTGGTTTTAACACCAGATGATTTATAAACAGACTAAATTCACTGGCTCATTAGCGTCTTTTGTAATTAGCTGACATCTTACCAGTGGTATTCTGGCTGTTGATTTTTACCTTTACAGGAGTAGCAAATGAACAAAAATGTTCTTATAATTTGCATTTAAAAATCTGTGTGTTATTTAATTTTGTTCAAATAACTGAGCTATTTGAAAGTAGTAAGCAGACAAATACTGGTTTTACAGTAAACACATTTAATTTGAAGAGTCTGGGGGGCCGGCGACGGGGAACCAGGAGCCGGGACTGCGGGAGTCTGGGGGGCCGGCGACGGGGAACCAGGAGCCGGGACTGCGGGAGTCTGGGGATAGAGGACACTAGAGGACGAGGACTAAGAGGGGACTCTGGACTAAGACTAAGAGGGGACACTGGACCACGACTAAGAGGGGACACTGGACTACGACTAAGAGGGGACTCTGGAGACTGAGGGTACAGAGAGGACACTGGACTACGACTAAGAGGGGACACTGGACTACGACTAAGAGGGAACACTGAACTGCGACTAAGAGGGGACACTGGACTAAGAGGGGACACTGGGCTAAGACTAAGAGGGGACACTGGACTAAGAGGGGACACTGGACTACGACTAAGAGGGGACACTGGACTACGAGGAAACTCTGGAGACTGAGGGGACAGAGGGGACACTGGACTACGACTAAGAGGGGACACTGGACTACGAGGGAACTCTGGAGACTGAGGGGACAGAGGGGACTCTGGACTACGACTATGAGGGGACTCTGGAGACTGAGGGGACAGAGGGAACTCTGGACTACGACTACGAGGGGACTCTTGGCTAAGGCACTGAGGGGACACTAGAGGACGAGGACCAAGAGGGGACACTAAAAGAGGACAACTAAGAGGGGACACTGGACTAAGGCTAAGACACTGAGGGGACTCTGGGCTAAGAGGGGATACTAGAGACTGAGGGGACAGAGGGAACTCTGGGACTGGTGGGGACGTAGACTCTGGGACTGGTGGGGACGTAGACTCTGGGACTGGTGGGGATGTAGACTCTGGGACTGGTGGGGACGTAGACACTTGTGGGGACACTTGAGACCGGAACACTTGTGGGGACTCTTGAGACCGGAACACTTGTGGGGACTCTTGAGACCGGAACACTTGTGGGGACTCTTGAGACCGGAACACTTGTGGGGACTCTTGAGACGGAACACTTGTGGGGACTCTTGAGACTGGAACACTGGGGACGGGGACTCTTGAGACTGGAACACTGGGGACGGGGACTCTTGAGACTGGAACACTTGGGACGTCAACTCCGAGACTTGAGACGGGGACGTCGACTCCGAGACTTGAGACGTGGACGTTGACTCCGAGACTTGAGACGTGGACGTCGACTCCGAGACTTGAGACGTGGATGTCGACTCTGGAACAGGAACCTCCGGCTTGGGAACAGGAAGGACTGGAGCCTCTTGGACGGGCTGTACAGGAGCCTGTGTGTCCTCCGGGACCATCGCCGAAGCAGGATGCGATGCATCCTCCAGGACCATCGCCGAAGCAGGATGCGATGCGTCCTCTGGGACCACCGCCGAGGCAGGATGCGATGCGTCCTCCGGGACCTCCGCCGAGGCAGGATGCGATGCGTCCTCCGGGACCACCGCCGAGGCAGGATGAGATGCGTCCTCCGGGACCACCGCCGAAGCAGGATGAGATGCGTCCTCCGGGACCACCGCCGAAGCAGGATGCGATGCGTCCTCCGGGACCACCGCTGGACCTGGACAGGATGCGATGCGTCCTCTGGGATCACCGCCGAAGCAGGATGCGATGCGTCCTCCGGGACCACCGCTGGGATAGGAAGCGGTGCGACCTCCGGGACCACCGCTGGGACAGGATGCGGTGCGACCTCCGGGACCACCGCTGGGACAGGATGCGGTGCGACCTTCGGGACCACCGCTGGGACAGGAGAGACGGAGCCCCTCGGACAGACGGAGGTGGGACCCCTGCTGGACATGGATGTGGTGCAGATCCTGGGACCACCGCTGGACATGGATGCGATGCGACCCCGGGAACTACCGCTGGACCTGGACAGGCAGAGCCTCTCGGACAGACGAAGGTGGAATCTCAGCTGGACGAGGATGTGGTACGGCCTCTGGGACCACCACTGGACGTGGATGCGATGCGCCCCCTGGGACCACCGCTGGACTGGGGCAGGCGGAGCCTCTTCAAAAGGCGGAAGTAGGAACCCCACTGAGCGTGGGTGCGGTGAGACTCCTGGGACCACCGTTGTACGTGGACACGGTGCGTCTCCTGGGACCACCACTGGACGTGGATGCGGTGCGCCTCCTGGGACCACCACTGGACATGGACGCGGTGTGCCCCCTGGGACCACCACTGGACGTGGACGGGACGGAGGGACTTGAGGCTTGAGCTGCGTAGCTGCAAAACCTTGTGTCTGTGAAGGCCATGAACTAGTAGAAGGTCTCTGGGACTGCCACTGTTGCGTTGTCAGAAACCCGCTGCGCAAGATGGCTGCAGCAGGCCTGGACGGAGGAGTGGAATCTCTGCGTGGCAGTGGCCTGATGGCCAGCCGCGTTCCCCAGAACGGTGACTCCTGCTCCTTCTCTATATCCATGAATTCCAGGAGCGTGAGATATTCCATGACAGGTATGAAGAAAAAAACAATACTCCCAAGTGCTGTGTCAGCGTCAGGTCAGACTTTTGGCCAGATTATTCTGTCATGAGCTGAACTCAGAAGACCCGTAATGACGCCAAACAAAGTTAAAGTATATAAAAAAAAAGTATTTTATTTATCGTGGAGTTACCAGGTGGGCAAGGCTGGAGACAGAGTAGGAGAGGAGGCGAGGGTCAAAACCAGATAGATCCGTGAATGCTACAATGAGCAGGCAGGAGGCAGAATCCAGAGAATGGGTTGAGGTCGAGAATCCAGGTAGTCAGAGGCAGAGAAAACAATCCAGGAAGGGAGCAGGCACTAGGGTTGGTCAAGGAACAGAAACAAGGTCAGGATCTATGGTACAGGCAGAGGTTGGAGTGCTGGAGAATTTACTGGCGCGAAGTCTTCAATAATCTGGCAGAGACTGGGTAGCTGAATGGATCTTTTATAGCAGGGGAAGCAGGTGAGTGAGATGAGCTGAGGAGTCAGGAGCAGGTGAAGAGGATGAAGCCGATTACAGGAACAGGTGAGATGAATGGAGTTGATGGTGGTTGCCAGGGAAACAGGGCTTGTCAGGAGCTTGGTGAGGGGACCAGGTGAGCTGAATGAAGGCTGAAAAATGAGAGTCATAACACTTCTACCCCTATTTCCTGCATTGGCCGCTGATAGAAAACAGACAAGGAAACACAGATTAGAAAAGCCGGTGACATTTGCACATCAAAATGTTAAGTTATCCTTCATGGACTCATCTTGGCTCGCAACGGGAAAGGCTGTTGTTGATGTAGCATCCAGGAGACAGAGCACATCCCAGCTACTAGAAGCTAACTATTAGCATTAGCAAGTCCACAACTTGGCAAAAGTCGTTCAGGCTTGTGTTATTTGTGAAGATGTAAATGGCCTATATTTGAATAGCACCTTCTTAGGGTTCTACAACCCCCCAAGGCACTTCACAACACAGTCATCTACCCATTCACACACACATTCACATGCAGGTGGTGATCGTGACGAGCTACGATGTAGCCACAGCTGCCCTGGGCCCCTCAGAGACCACTGCAAATGTACTGTTGTGTGAAGCTCATCTCTCAATTTGGCTAACCTACTTCCCGAAACAGTGCCAGTTTTTTTCACCACAAATTCTACTCAAGACATTCATTTCTACTAGAGACCACTGCAATTGTGTTAAAAAAAGGAGTGAACTTGGTCAATAATAAGACACTTTTTTTTTCCTCATGACATCGATGGCGCCCTAACCCAGAAATCTCGTTTTTTTGAACATCGATGTTCATGAGCACTAAATCATTTCTGATTAACCATTTGGATGGTTTCCTGCTGATCCAGTCTTTGTTTCATCAGGTATCTTCTTGTTTTCTAAGAATCATTTATTAAGTTATGGCAGGATATTCACTTAATGTGGACCATCTGTAAGGTTCTTTTGTCTCCACAAAGATACTCCAGATTTTGTTTATGGAGACCCCTGGCCCTGCTGGTGACAAATATCCTGAACCCTCTGGAGGCAGGCGTTGCAGATTTGCAACGTTAAAACCTGGTTACTCCACATCAGTGTTGGGATTAACGCCTTAATGGCGTTATTAACGGCGTTCTTTTTTAGGTAACGGAATAATTTAATTAATTACTTTTCCCACTGTTGCAACGCCGTTACTGGGGACGGAAGGTTGTGCGTTACTATGTGCTTGTCGAAAGTTGAGCAACAGTGTGAGGCTTTCTGACCGCCACACTTCAGCTGCAGCCAGGGAGAGAGAGGTGTCGGTAACGCACTTACAAACACGATGATGATTGGCCGGGTGGGCGGAGACCCTCAGTGTTCTCACCGTCACTGCATGCTGTAGACCCAACAGAGCAGTGATGGGAATAATCATAATTTAAAATAACCGTGTTACTTAAACAATATTTCTTTCAGTAACGAGCAAACTAATTAATTACAGTCTTCTTTTATCAAAACGTTTCTGTTACTGATAAGAAAATGCGTGCGTTAAGCTGTGCGGTGTGTTGAAGCTGTCATCAGCTGATCAGGAGCTAAAGAGGCAGATGTTTTCATCCAAGTGCATCACGGCCCGTGAAGAACGAGGAAGACGTGATGAATATTCTACGGCTGCAGGGGTGGATCTGCAGCCATGCCCTTCTTAGCATGACAGCGGGACGTCCCGAAGGTCCGCTCACCTGTTCACCGCTCAGACGCCACGATCTTCTACCTTCCTAGATCATCTAGCTGTAACCTGTTTCTGATCATGTCTTTAGTCCCGCTGTAACACTGATGCATCAGTCTCAGACGTCATGGTGCTCAGGTGCTATTAGAACTACCTGTGTGTGTTTACCACCCAGCTTCAGCTCTTCTGTGGTTGGGTCTGACCCAAGTTACACATTTAAATCCTCCATCAGGCTTGTGCCTCTTCTAGTGTCATTTTAAAGGATTTTATTTATTTATGTAACCATTACTAGATTAGCAGCAACAGCAATGCTACTAATAGACAATTATGTGAAGCTGGAAAAATTAAAATACTGTGCAAAATTACATTCATTTCTGTAATTTAACTAGACCGAGAGACCATTTAAAGGCTCGGGAACTTTTACAGGTGTTTCTATTTGCAATTTTAAATTTTGATTGATTGGGGTCTTGTTAAATATCACACAGTGACCTTTTAATAGTCTAGATAAGTGTAATGTTCCTGTTAGTAGTTCCTCCTGTTAAGTTCTTATTTATTTAAATTATTCAGGTTTATAAAAACATTTGGACATACATTTTATTATGTTCCAGTCATTACTCATTTATATTTCACTATTGTAGTAATTTATAGTAAATTAAGTATGTTCAATTAACCCATTTTTCTTGCATTCTTTAATAAAAAAAGTAACTTAAGTAGTTATTTTTCTTGGTAATTAGTTACTTTTATAATCTCGTAACTCAGTTAGTAACTGAGTTACTTTTTTGACAAAGTAATCAGTAACTATAACTAATTACTTTTTAAAGTAACGTTCCCAACACTTCTCCTTCATGAGCATTTTTTAACTCAGAAGTACCCCTGCAGGACTTAGTTGTTCGTCCTTTTATCAAAACTTATTTTGAGCCTGAGAGGGTTCATGTCTGATTACTCAGATGAGCAGAACAGCTGGATCGGATCAGTTAACAATTGCTGCGAAACTTTCAGAGTCATTGGAATGTTCCTAAATTTCCTCAAAGAGCTGTTCTTCCTCTTGTCCTCACAGATCATTTCCTGTTAAACTTTTTTGGTCCTTTGTACTTCCTAGGATCGTGAAAATCCGCTGGACAATGTCCTTCAGTTCTCTCTGAGGAAAGCGGGCAGCGTGGAGATGTTGGACCACAGCAGCGACGAGGATGAGAGGCGAGGTTCCTGTAAGTAGTCACCACCTCACATTGACTTCCTTCATGTCACCCCCTCCCTCGTCTCCAGCTCACATCTTCTCTTTCACCTTCACTCTTCTCTCCAAACGTCTTCACAGGCTCATTCCATCCCTCCATCATCTCCTCCATCCAACCTACTTATATTCTAGCTCAGCCCTCGTGGCAGATAATCCCACCGTCGGTGCTGTCTCACCTCCGTCGTCATCCGGCCCTCCCGCTTTTCATTCTCACCACCATTCCCCATCATCTCCTCCTCTGCCCCACAGTCGAACTTCCCGCACTGACCTCCTCTTCCTTGTCTTCCCTCCCCGATGCCCCCTCTACTCCTCCCTCTGCAGTCCCTCGCTCCGTGTCCAACCTGGAAAACACGGAAAGGAAAAGAGTGAAGACTCGGCTGAAGAAGCTGATCCTGAGGAGACCTCCTCTGCAGGCCCTGCAGGAGAAAGGGCTCATTAAAGGTGAGACCGGCTGTGGTGAAGCATTGTTACAGGGCCGTCCTCCATTCAGAGGAATTTTAAAAATGATTTATTCATATTAATTGTGCCATTTAAGTGAAATAGATTAAAGTTTTTGAGGCAGGCAGGAAATGTCGGCATTTATCCTGCAGTGATGTGACGTTCCCTGGTGAATATGTGATGCAATCCTCCTCATCTGTTTAGTAAGTTTATTTTTTTCACTCTACCAATAAAACATAATTTATTCATCTCTCTTAAAGCTAGAGTGGGCAGTAATATTGTTTTGTTATCTGGTAAAAATTCTTTAATAACCTTTTAACAAACTGCAATTCAGGTTCTATCAGAGGAAACCAAACTTCTCTTGGTTTTGTTTTTGAACTTTAGATCATCCGCAGACTTATGGTCCTGAGACGGAAGCGCCTGTAGTACTGCAACAATAAATTAATGAATACATAAATAAATAACTAACAAAGGGCATGTTTATTAATATAAAATCTGTTGGAAAAAAACATTAAACCTTGGCTTATTATGAGCAAGCTCTTTAACTAACACATATAAATTATTTTATCTGATTAAGAAAAAAAAATTGAAATTATAAAAAATAGAAATGGTCTAATAAATAACTTAATAACTTATACTGTTAATATAATTATTGCAGCAAAGTTAATACAAGAATGTAAAAAATGCAACAACAAAGTTATTAATCTAAACTAAATTAGTTAAGTAAACTGAACCCTATTTTGTTTTATTTCTTGTGTTTGTCGTAACGACTTTAAACTTAAGTTGAAGCTCTGATCAGTTGCATGTTTATTTAGATCATAGTGGGTCTGCACGCTGAGCTTCATGATCATTTTTTGTCCTCATCACAAGAAATTGAACCAATTTTACTGTTTCAGTCATCAAATGAGGATTAATTCCCGATGTTGTTTATCTTTTCTTTTCTGTATTTTTTGGTTTTCTTTTCTCACTAGTTTGCCAATTAAGCATGCTGCAAAAAATCCTCAATCTAAATACGCTACAGGTCTATTTCCGGGTTTGGTTGCCATCCTAGCAATTTTAACCTGATTTTATTTAAACAGCATCTGTGATGTTGATACTTGAATAAACCTAAAGCTGATGAGTTCATACTCAGATGACGACACAAACCAGGATTGAAATCAAATTAAATGAGACATGGCTCAAAGCATAGCTAGAATTTCTGATATGAAGTAGTTTCACACTTGCTGATCATAAATTGTTTGTCCCTTAAGACAGTGGTTCCCTAGCTAGGGTCGGGGACCCCCAAGGAGGTCCCCACAAGCTCGTCTGTGCAGAGTTTGTGAGATTAGTAAGATTTTATTTTTTAAAAAACTACATTTATAAAATCCCAATAACACACTCTAAGGTATACTCCATAAAAGTTATGACTCTGTGTCAGTGTAAAGTTTGTAAATGATTACATTTAGTGTGTGTATACGTGTTGGGGATAACCGCTGCAGTAAAACACCATCATTGGCAGGAATTTGAACCATATTAAAAGCTTAGATACATCAGAAATCCACTCATTTTAGATTAGTTTTCTAAAATTTGAGCGTGTTGATTTCCCGTAACAAGTCTGTCTTTTATTTAATGTTTTTAAGTCAGATCTAGCATTTACATATAGATCAGGAAACTCGTGGAGTTTCGTTTAACAGCTCGGCACGCACATGCTTTATGGGTTGCTGACAGACTTTAGCAACATGACTGGTTGAGGATGGGAAAATTATGTGCTACAATCTTACCGTAAGATTATTGGAGGTGTGGCCTCACATAGGACATCATTTCCCTTTTTATTATTGTGACGAATAACCTGACATCTAAAAGCAACGTTGGAGCTGTCTGGACAACCTTGTACAGTGATCCCTCGCTACTTCGCGGTTCGTTTATCGCGGATTCACGACTTCGCGGATTTTTTCTTTGGAGCCTTATTCAAAGGAAATTCGCCGATTCGCGGTATTTTTCTATGCGAAATATCAAGAAATTCCTGTTTTTTTCATCAATTTCATCATAAAATGCACTTTTTGTAATAAAACTACAAAAAAAACAAGTCAAATTTTTTTTCTTGAGTTTTACCCACAAAAAGAGAATGTGATCATACGATAATTCAATATAGTACTGTACTGTAAATATGGTGTCCCTACTTCGCGGATTTTCACCTATCGCAGCCAGGTCTGGAACGCATCTACCGCGATAAACGAGGGATCACTGTAGTTTACAGTGGATGAGCTGCATTGCATCATTCAGTGAGAGCTTACATGTATGCTACCTGAAGGCTTTGTCCCAGAATCAACACACAATGATTACCTTCAGCTTGTCGTTCTTAAATTACATATTAAAATCTGCTATAATAACCAAAAGCTGTGTTTTGTGTCCATCTGTCTTTGCCCCTCAGATCAGGTGTTTGGCTGCCGTCTAGAGATGCTCTGTGAGAGAGAGAAGAGCACCGTCCCTCGCTTCGTCAGGTTGTGCACCGAGGCTGTGGAGAGCAGAGGTACAGTCGCTGGTACCTCCTGCTGACGTGATCTCAGCTCCACGTGAATGCGGGAGAAATTCCTCTCAAACCTGTTCTGAGCATCAGCTGACAGCACGCCTGAACTCGCTGCTCTCACAGATTTGTTGTTTCTGAAAATCCTCTTAATGGTCCAGCAAAAACAACAAGAAAGGGAAAAAAAATCTTGACAGTTGCCTGCCAAGGAGAGATAAATGAGAGACAATTGATTTGTGTAGAAAGAATGCAGCGATAGATATTAAATGTGCAGAGAAAAAATCTGAATTTGTGACTTTAAAACTAGCTTTGATTGCATGAAGATGGCCAGAAATGAGCTTTAAGGGTAAGGCACTCACATTTAGGAGTAATGGGACATTAGCAAGAGTATTCCCTCTGTAATAATAACTTTTACAATGTTTTTAAACATAAATATGTTTTATTCTCTTGAATAATTGAAGAACAATTAACTACGTAAAGCCTGTTTTAATCTTCAGTGATATCTGTAATTTAACGTGTCAGATGATTAAGAAAAAATCATTACATTTCTGTTTTGTTCTCACTCCAAAGACTGTGGAATCTTTAATTTAGACAAAATTCACCTGATTGAATCAATAAAAAAAAGGTTTAGATTTTTTTTTCAAAATAAGAGCACAGTAATTCTAAAATTTTGTTTTATTTCTCTTTTACAAACAGAATATTTATAATGAGTACAATTTCACTTTACATCTTTTATTGACACTTGTGTAGGAGGTTCTTTATAGAATTAATGCAATCATGCAAAAAGCTATTTTGTATATATATATATATATATATATATATATATATATATATATATATATATATATATATATATAGATAGATAGATAGATATAGATATATTGATATATAGATATATAGATATAGATATAGATATATATTTTTTGATTGAATCTTTATTTTGAACTTATTAAAAAACAGTACATAAAAATAAAGGAAGAAAATAGACAGAGAAAAAAAAATATATATGTATATGTTTAGCTGACCAAAAGTACCGAACCTGTGCTTTTGCTCCACTTTGTGTCACATCTTTGGGGACTTACGCAACAGCTTCCTTGGCACCATGAATTATTGATTCCCAGAATATGTGGCTGCTGTGTCCAGCAGAACAATCCACTCAGCTCAGACTGGGCTCAAATCTGATGATACCATTTCATAAAAGTGTAAATGTTTAATCATGTGAGAACTAAATTAAGAATTTGTCTTTTGGAACTGAGGAGTCAAGATGCTCCCCGTCTAACCGGCTCTCTGTTATGTGTTGCAGGACTGGAGACTGACGGTATCTACAGGGTTTCGGGAAACCTGGCTGTGATTCAGAAACTTCGCTTTCTGGTTGATCATGGTGAGCATGAAGCGGAGGAGAGGCAAAAAGAAATGATAATTATATTAATTCTCAGCGAAGCGAAGTGAAAACAACCTGTTATTGGAAGCTTGGGGGAAATTTGATCTGATTTCTCTTTTTCAGCTGCCTTAAAATGATCATAGTCACCATTTGAGGCTATTTGATTGAACAAAACTCCATTCACAGCCCACTCCCGCTCTGAAATCTCCTAAAATTTGTTCTGATAAAGCAAACGCAGCAGAAAAAGACCCTTTTTTTGTAACTGTTGGTTTTTGCAGAACGGGCGCTGACCACTGACGGCCGTTTCATGTTCCCAGCGGAGTTGGTTCAAGGTAGATTCAGAGGCAGACGATGAAAGCAAAAGCTTTTACTTCTTACTCAGCCTGCTTTTGTTTTCCTGTGCATCATATGCTGCAGAATCTGAACACCTCAGTCCAAAGGTCCACAGAATGCCCACCCACAGAGCTGAGTGTCAGAGCCGCGCCGCCGCGCAGGCCGGCACCAAGCAGCATTCTGCTTTTATTCCCTGTTGTTGTTGTGAGACCGTTTGCTTGATGCGCGTGTCCCTTCAGGCTCTTTGTGCTTCAAGTTTTCTGATGTAATAACATGCAGCAGGTTGTACAGCCAGTCCTCGCGCGGTATGCTGGTGCCACCAAGTGGACGGAGCAGGGAACCGTCAGCTCCAGGGTCTCTCTGATCCCACAGCATTGTCTTTGATGTTTCTCATTTTAGGATAGGAGCTCGTGCTTCCTTGCACTATTAATGTATCGATACGATATCTAATTAAATTAAATCTCTTTTTTGAGCTCTTTGATCTAATTTGAGAAGCATCAGTCAGGCTTGTCTGAAGTGTGCATGCGTGGGTGTTTCCTCACATCTTTTATTCTATCTTCTTCTTGCATCTACAAGCCTTCATGTAAACTCACACTATGTTCATGTTAAATTATGCCATTTAAACTCGTTCACTTTTTTTAAGGATACGTTTAGATTTAATTTGCCGTATTAATTGTTGTCCCCCCCTTCTGCCCCTCTCATCCCCATCCCTCAGAAGAGAAGCTGAATCTGGACGACAGCGTCAGGTGGGATGACATCCATGTCATTACGGGAGCTTTGAAACTTTTTTTCCGCGAGCTCCCAGAGCCGCTCGTACCCTACGGCTTCTTCACCGACATTGTGGAGACAGTCAGTGAGTGACCCCTCTTTCAGATCTGTTCTTTTATGGACGAAGTCCCAAATAACAAAAAGGTCACCTCAGTGTGACAGCTGTCTTTAATCAGCATCAGAAATGCTTAAAACAGCATCTTAACAAACAAAACAGCATGTTTTATATTTAAGCCGACACATTTAAAGCACAGTTTTCTGATCCAGTAATAAGATCAGCTATGTAAACTTCTGCAGAGCCTCCAGATGCCTGCAGTGAGTGTCTTTAGATTTAATCTCATTGTTTTATTATTATTGCATCGTGTTGATCACACACGCATAGGGGAACTATTAATACTATTATAGTCATGCTGGAAGTCCAAGTCCTCTAAGTACTCAGTTATCTGTCATCGCTGTTATTTAATCTTTTTTATTTCTTTCATTAATAAACAAACAGACTCTTTGTTAGTCATTGCTCAGTGCATTATTAATCAATAATAAACAAATTGACACTTTATTAACACTACTCAGTGCATTATTAATCAATAATAAACAAACTGACCCTTTATTAACATTACTCAGTATATTATTAAACATTAATCAACAAACAGGCCCTTTATAAATGTTACTCAGTCCGTTATTAATCAATAATAAACAAATTGACACTTTATTAACACTACTCAGTACATTATTAATCTGCTGCATGGTAGCACAGGTGTTACCTTTGTTGCCTCACAGTAAGAAGGTTGCAGGTTCGAAATCCGGTTACAACCTTTCTGAGTGGAGTTGCATGTTCCCCCCATGCATGCGTGGGATTTCTCCGGGTACTCCGGTTTCCCCAACGGATCACAATATCCTCAGTAGGTTAACAGTTGTACATCTGCCAAATAAATAAACAGAATTGTCTAATTAGGCAAGACAGCTTTATTTGTGTTGCATTTCACACACCGAGACAATTCAATGTGCTTTTCATTAGCGAGAATAACAAGAACATTAAAATCAACTTGACAGCACAAGTAAAATACACAAATTTAGATCAAATAAATCAGGAAAAAGACAGAGATAAAGGGTGAGCAGTTACATTGCAGAAGGTGCAGCATAAGAAACATTCATTCAAAGCAATGAATACAAGAAAGTTTTACATTTTCATTTAAAAGATAATAGAGTTGGACATTAGACATCCTTTAAATTCTCATCTTATGACAATACACTCGTTTTAATTTTGAAAAATGTAAAATTGTGATTTCATCATGCAGCTTTTGTAACTGAAGTGGGATCAGATGGGCTCGTGACAGCTTTTATATGTAAATTAGAATGTAGGTGCCTATGAACCACAAAAAACCTCACACCTCACATACCAAATCCTAATCTGTGTTGCAGAGATGTCAGACTACATGGACAAAGTGGACCGCCTGAAGTGTCTGGTGCTAAACATGCCTCCTCCGAACCACGACACGCTCCAGTTCATGTGCCGGCATCTCCGACGGTGAGATGACGAGAGTGAAATGACATTTAGTTCATGTTTGCCGATGGCTTCGGTCACACTTCCTATAACTGAGAAGGAAAGAGCCCAGAAGGCCTGGCTCCCCTTCCTGGTATATCTGACCACAAGGGGGGGCCGTTCCCTTGTGGGTCCCTGTTATTCTCTGTCAGCGATTCCTCAGCCTCAGTGCTTGACATGTGCCAGGATCACACTGTTGTTAAGTTTGGGTTACTGCGAAGATGAAAAGGCTGGCGGAAGATGAATGGTGCACGACACTCCAAGAGCCAGTTCCTTTTACAGTACATAAAATGTGTGTTTTTACCGCCTATGGTTTTCCCTTCCACTCCAGGGGTGAGCGTTCGTGTTCTGAGGCTGATGTTTGTGCCAGGGTGTGGTGGGCCCTGTGAATTTGTCAGCGCTGTCTTTCTCTTGCGTGCCATTCCTTTCTCTGGTTCTTATTTATTATCTCTCAGCTCAATCACCACACCCCACCCCTTCTGTCTTTCTCTTTCTGTCTCCTCTTCCTCACTTCCTTTCCATCCTCTTTTTCATTCCTTTTTGCCTCTTCATTATTTTCTCTGTTCCCTCCTTCCTCTTGGCTCTCCCTTTTTTGCCTCGAAGGTCCCATGGGAGCCTTGTGGTTCGTCTGCTGGAAGGCACACCGACACCACCGCCGCCACCACTGGAACCTCTCTTTTCACTCTCCTTGCCCTCTTCCTCGCTCGTGTCTTTTTCCCCTCTTCCTTCTCTTTTTTTTCTCCTCTCTTTTTTAATGTGGAAGTTTTGAGCAATTGCTGGCTTCTTCTGTGGTTGGTGGGAATGGCATTTTTAGAAGAATGCCTCATGCTGTGGCTTTAACCCATTCCTGAGTCCCCGCTCGAAACACACACACACACACACATCCCGATATAGGTGGAATCAGGCAGTGTGTTTAGGACATTTTAGGGTACACATCTGCGGTGCAATACCTTCAGCCATCCTCCTTACATGCCTACACTCCCAGTCCCTTTAATAGCTAAAGTAGCAGTAAACACAAGACATCTGACGCCGTCGGTGTTGTCCTATCTCAATGTGATTGGATGATAATGATGCAATGAACTGATGAGTCATCAGCCTAACCCTGGATCATTACATGATTTTATGACACTTGGTTAAGACATTTTGCTCAAAAGTCACAAATGTTAACCTGGTGGTGGCCCTCTTAGAAACGTCATAGATCAGCAGACCAACAACATCAGCCTGAAAGCTGAGTCCTCAGGTTTATCACTCATACAGTTTCTGTCTCAGTCACAGCTCTTAAAGCTACAATCTAGAGTTTTTCCCCTTTCAGGATTTATATATGATTTTTTAAAGAACATTCTATAGTTGTATGGTGATACAATGTAGGCAATAGGTCATTTTTTAAGCCCATTCTCCATCCTGTAGAGCCCCATGCAATTTGAATTGAGCGCCACTCAGCATTAGCTAATAGCGAGGGACATATGGTTACGTACAGATGTCAATGTCAAATAATACATTATATATATATAATGACATAACATGAGAATAATAATAGTAAAACATCGTGTTTTAGCTCTGTCTGCCGGCTAGAGAGGCATGTAGAAACCGCAGCTTAGGGTGCGATACACTTGTCAGGCACTAGATGGCACTTTGGGTTGTAGCTTTAACAAAAACTGTGAGTATTTACCAACTAAATGTAGGTTCATCATTGTTTCTCAAATGTGTCAACTCAAGTCACATTAACTCCACTGGTTTAGGGTCAAGTCACTGATTAGGACATTTAAAATATTCATTCTAAGTCAATCCATCCATTTTTTCTCTGCTTTTCTGGGGATGGAGTCACGGTAGCAGACGCCTAAGCAGAGAGGTCCAGACTTCCTTCTCCTCAGCCACTTGGGCCAGCTAATCCGGGGGAATCCTATTCCCTGGCCAGCAGATAAGCATATTTTTTCCAGCATGTCCTAGGTCTTCTCCTGGTTGGATGTGTCTGAAAAACCTCCAGAGGAAAGCATCCAGGAGGCATCCTAACCAGATGCCTGAGCCACCTCAACTGGCTCCTCTCGATGTGGAGGAGCAGTGTATCTACTCCGAGCTCCTCGTGGATGACCAAGCATTTCACCCTATCTCTAAGGGAGAGCCCAGCCACCCTGGGGAGAAAACTAACTTCGGTCGCTTGTATTTGCGTTCTCGTTCTTTGGGCCACTACCCAAAGCTCGTGACCATAGGTGAGGGTAGGAATGTACGAGGAATGTAAGTATTTAAACACACTGCGATTTTGCAAGTTTTCCCCATTTGGAAATAGGGGTCTGAGGGGTCTGAGATTTACATTGCAGATGTATTCCTACTTCATACAAGTGGTGGAGAGAGCTGAGCCATGAGTTGAAGCTCTCGATTTACCATTCGAGCTACGTTCCTACCCTCACCTATGGTCACAAGCTTTGGGTAGTGACCAAAGGAATGAGATCGCGGATACAAGCAGCTGAAATGAGTTTTCTTTGCAGGGTGTCTGGGCTCTCTCTTAGAGATTGGGTGAGGAGCTGTTCCTCCAAATCGAGAGGAGCCATTTGAGGTGGCTCTGGCATCTGATTAGGATTCCTCCTGGACCCCTCCCTGGTGAGGTTTTCCAGGCTTGTCCAACTGGGAGGAGACCTAAAGGAAGACCCAGGACACGCTGGAGGGACTATGTCTCTCAGCTAGCCAGGGAATGGCTTTGGATTCCCCTGAAGGAGCTGGTCCAAGTGGCTGGGGAGAGGGAAGTCTGGACCTCTCGGCACTGCTGCCCCCGCGACCCAACCCTGGATAAGCAGAAGAAAATGGATGGATGGATGGATGGATGGATGGTTGTTAAAAGTAAATGTATATTACTCTTTTAATAATCACAACAGCTGTTGACTCATCAAATTAACAAATTTTTCTCTAAACTAAAATTTGAACCTTTTTATTTCTGGGAGAGGTGGCACCGCTACACATCCAGCCTCATCTCCATACACACACCTTCTGTTGTTTTAAGTGATTATCCTAAATTAAGGTGGTATTTATTTGTTCCCTGCAGAGTGTTGAAACATTCAAACACCAACAGAATGACCACCCAGAACATCGGCATCGTCTTCGGCCCGACGCTGATGCGCACAGAGAGAGACACTGGCAACATGGCAGTGAATATGATCTACCAGAACCAGGCGGTGGAGCTTATCCTCAGCGAGTTTGACCACATATTCGGAACAAGAGGCCCCTCTTGATCTTTTCCGACAGGATGGGGAGGTGGCGGGTCTCCTCGCCTCGGCCCGGTTCTGCTCTTCCAAATCAGACTAAAAACATTGCAGCAAAAGCTTGTAGACTCAAATGGTGTGAAATGGATTTTACATCAAAAGATAATTATGGGGTGAAAAGAACCAGGAAAGAAAGCTGCTAATCATGACATCTGGCCTCCATAAAAAGCCATGTTAAAACAATAATAGTAAAACAACCCCATTTTAGCTGCAACGCTCGAGCCTTTGAGCGCAGATGTGGAGCACAGTCCCGGTGTAGCTCGCTGCTGGATCAGACGCTTCCTCCTCACTCCGCCTCCATGTTCCAGACTTCATCAGGGTGAAGAAAAAGAAGCCATAAAAGTGATAAATCCCCCGCAGCCCGCCCAGTGTTTTATCCAGTTATTCATCAAGCACAAAGAGGGGGGATGTGTCCTAATGTAGCACTGAAGCAGAACTTAGCAGAACCATCTCACTGTGAAGGATGTTGGGACAAACGGACAGATCCAACGGGAGAATCCTGCAAGCAGGACGAGAAACGAGCCTCCACCGACACTCTGCTGTGTAAAGGTTTAAATGTGATTCCAGTGAATGGATGATGCGCCAGCGGAGCAATAAAAGTTCCTCTTTTAGTTTCCTCTCAGTCTTGTCCAAATTCAAATCTATTTTATTAGTGCAAACTCCTTGTGTTAAATTAAAATGTGAAGTTGTAAATATGTGTAGGGTGTGTGACCTTCAGAGTTCCACGTGAGCGTGTTGTTTAAAAGTTCTTGATTGGTATTTTTCCTCCCAATAAACGCACGTGAACAAACCGATGTGTTTTGTCATGTTCGCTCAGGATGTCTGTCAGGTTGTTTGTTGCATGGCGGTGGGTTGCGTGACAGATAGCGGAGGCGTGTGGAGGTATGTGGGCCTCTGAGACCCGGCGGGTGGAGCCATCCCCCATGATTGGTGCAAATGCTGCTTTTAATAACAGAACAAAAGGGGAACTGGAAATGCATATGTTTTAGAAATGTGGATTTTCCCCCTCGAAACCCTCTCACTCTGTGGCTTTGGTAATTTTATATGGACTGTGGGTTTGGCAAAAGACAAAGAGCTTAAAGGAGGCACTGCTGGGGGGCGGGGGTGTTATTAAATATATTCCTTCACTTTTTGTTTGTAGCTTTTATTTTTTCACGTATGTGAGCTGATTGAAAGGGGATGAGGCTGTGTGAAGCTGACTGATGAGGAGTTGTCTCAGCTTCGCTCCAGAGGATGTCCTCAAAAATGATTCACTTAAACATTTTCAGCTTGAATAGACAAACCTCACTTGTTTATTTAATCCAAACACATGTGTGCAATTTATACACTGCAAAAACTGATTTCTAAGAAAGTCAAAAAGCCTCATTTTTAGACTTTTATCCTATTTTTAGTCTAAAAAATGATAAATTATTCCCTAGAAAATGCATTACTTACGATAATGTTATTATTTTTCGATAAAATCCAAATTTTCTTGTTTTGAATTTAAAAAATGTGCCAATGGGGTATGCAAAAATTACTAAGCTAGAATTTCTTAAACTAGCAAATAAATTTAGATTATTTTGTCTTCGACTACCCCATTGGAAGATTTGCTTTACTCAAAATTGAAAATTTGATCATATTTTAAAGGAAATTTGTAAGAATTCTGCAGCTAAATAATCACAAAACAGTCTAATGTTTCAGTCCTGTAGGAACAAAGTTAACACTCAAACAGATTTTCTTTTTAGGTGGCTTGGAGAAACAAAAGAGGGATGTAGTTACTGTTTACTATCAGTACGCCTGTGAGGTTGCTGAGTCTGTGGCGAGCTAACGCAGCAGCACCTGCATTTGTAATTCGACATCGGTAGGATAAAAAGCAGACTGTTTACGCCAGTAAACAGGAGTGACCCAGAAGTTATTTCTTGTACCCCTAAGAAGCCACTGAATCTTTTTGTTTTACTCTAATATCGGGTAAAGCTGGATGGAGGCTAATGTAGAGCTAACATTACTAATGGTGAATTAGAAGCAAAGCGCAACTCTAAAAATATCTCAAGCTACTTTTTCAATTACCAACAACTTGATATTACAGTGAAATGTGTGTGTGAAGTAAATAATGAATCGCTAGCGGTGTCTTCCTTTAATGAGTCGTTCAGAATAATAACAGCAAGATGGCAAACAAATGCATTATTCTAAGGCTGGAAACACAATACCGTAATATTTGTAGTAAGTGCTCCCTATTGTAAACACCAGATATGACTATGTATTTATCAACTTGCTGCGCATGACTCGTCTTTGCTTGTCATCTAGAATCTTCTGGTGCTGCTCTGTTGCTGGCAACAGCCATGAAACACACAGAACAGGAGTGAGAGAATCACTTTGTTTATAAAAATGGATGGCAGTACACACATTTGACCACAGGATGTCATTGTTACTTCATTCTTACATATTGCACCTTTAAGAACATTTAACTTTTTTCAAGTAGTGACATTGTTGCAGATCAGAACATCTTTTGATTATAAGACACATGAATAAAATAAAAATGTCTAAAACCAGAGCTTTTTTAGTTTCTTGAAAATCAATTTTTGTAGTGTATAGTAAAAGAGTCTTAGCTGGTCAAGCCCTCCCTATATATGGTAATATATAGTCTGCCCACGACCCATTGATGGAGCTCAGTCGTGAGGCAGGATCTACAGTTTTTGTCTCTGCGTGATATTGGACAACAAACAACATGACAGAGAGAAACTAATTATTTTTCCAAATAAAGGACTTTAGTACCTCTATCTGCTCTTGACTCAAAGTCTAAATTTTCCAAAGTTTAGGCCAAAGCCATTTCCTGAGGTTCCGTCGGTCTAGATTGACCTACAGAGCCAAACAATTCTCTTTGTTGACTATCTATCTAGATTTCTAGACTAAGAGGGTGTGTCTTCCATCTTCAGAATAGATGTTTGCATTTGTTTTAGTGTGCAGCAGGAAATCTGACAGCCTTAAAGCAGCAATGGGGCCAATATTTAAAAGAAATATGTATTTTTGCCCACATCTCTGAGGCTGTAGGGACTTCCTCTAGCAAAGCTTCAGTGGAATCAAACTACTGCAGAAAGAGCTGTGATGTGTTTTATATAACTATCAAAACACTTCTCTGTCTTAATCAGCACTTTGTTTGCAGAGCGGATCAAAATCCCTTGCATCATCTTGTCCCTTTTTTCTTCTTTTCCAACTAAAAAACACTTAAAAAATACATATTTTGCTGCTGGATCAGTAATTGTGAACAAACCATCATCCCCTCTGCAAACCTTTTGGAAACATTTGCCCCACAAACACATTATTTTGACACTTGGACCAATGTAACAAGCTTACATTATATATTCTAAACCATTCTGCATCTGCATGTGGTTATTTTGTTTGCTGCATCGCTGAAACAAAATGGTTTTCGGTCTGTGTAGTATTTAGAGAAGTTGTGGGGAGAAGTAAATCAGAAGGCTGTAAAATGTTTACATCTGTTAGAAGCTTTTTCAGCCCAACGTCTCTCAAAACTAATTTAATTTTCACTAAGTTTGACTGAACCCACTGAGAAAGGGTGCTCTGTAGTGGATTTAAATTCTTCATAAAACTCTTTGTGTATGGAATTAATTAGATTAAAGTACTGTTTTATTCTCCTTTTTGTTTATTTTAATTTTAATGCTTTTTCTTTGTAGAATTTAATGCTTTCTGCCTTGTAAATTAACCACAGATTGAATAGTCGAAAAGGTATTTGTATAACCCCTGCTGATTTACACCTGTTAAACTTATAAGAACATTACTAAATCATTTATGAGTCGGTTCTTTCTGACTGATGGATGTCGTGCATCATAATTTATCATTTCAGTCAAAACTGTATTAAATGTCATGTTCCAGACAAACCGAGCATCATTTGGTGCTGCTATTGACGCTGGTGATAAATAGTTTCACCTGTCATGGAGCATTAATGTTACAGTGAGCTGCTTGTTTATGCAACTCACTGTTAAATTTAAGCTCAAATATCAGAGCTGCTGCTCCGCACGCGGGTTCACGGGGGCAGGCGGCCTCTGGTGAATCATCATGCAAATTCACTGAGCCACGAAAACACGCGGTGTATCAACATAAGCTGGTGGAAACGGTTTACTGTGTTGAGAAAAAGGACTGGCTCAAGTTGCAACAAGAAAATCTGAGTGCTTGTGGTAAAAGTTCACAATTTACGGGTTTTAGGTGTAAATATGTTGGAAATAAACCTACATTTATTATATTATAGTGTCCACTGTGCATGGGTGTTTAAAGTCTCATAAACACTTCATCATGAGATCGTGAATCAGGACAAAGGATGCAAAAATGTTGCTTTTTTAATTAAAAAATAAATCAAGATACAAGATTCTGGTGACAACTTATGTACATTTTTATTACAAACATTGAAAAAATACTGCAAGAGTTTAATATGAACCTGTTCGGTTGTCAAAAAAAAGGAATTTTAACAAAGTAAGTGTGCAGAAATTGAGTGGATGTGTCCTTGCCTGTTATTTTGCCTGAAGATAACAGGTAAGGAACTAGAGAAGCATAGCGTGTGAGTCTGTGTGTGTTACATATGCATATCTTTGGTGATGAAACACACACACACATTCACACACAAGTATCTTTGGCCCGAAGTATGCATGAATGCTGCAAGCTTAGTCACACCGCGTGCACCGCCGTCCTATCGCACCTCTAGTCTGAGCACATCTGAGGCGCAGCAGCCAGAAAAGAGGAACTGCAAAATGGAAGTTTGCGTCCTGAGACTTGACCCTCACCCTCGCCACACCTCAACAGACAAGTCCACACATGTGACACGATTATTTGTGGGTGTAGAAATAGACATTTTAACACTTCCCAAAATCAAGCAGCTCTGTGTGATAATCAGACAAACAGTGCAAATCGGTTCTGCTTCCTGGAAGGGAAACCCCCCATCTTCATCCTTTGTGCCCATTAACGTTTCACCGATGCAGAAATGACCGTCCTCCCGGGGAGACATATGCTGCTAAATGTTCAATCCACTGCGTTCTGGATGAAGCATACATAAACAGCTACCTTCCCTTTGTTCCTCTATTCACCTTTAAAAGATGGCCGTGTACCCTAGTCTGCCTAGAAACAAGAGATGCTCCCACTTTTTGAGTTCACACCATAAATCCCACGATCAATGTTTCAATACTGTTGTGCAAAAATAAATCTGCAGAAGGACGTTGCATTTGAGTCTTTTTATCCTCTAAATGGGTTTTTTGTCCACCTAAATAATTTAAATTTGTGGTTGAAATACTTCAGATGAGTTACATTAAAATGCTCTAGGCCCTCAACGCTGAATTGCAAGAAAATGTATGTTTGTGCAACAGGAAGCAGCGGTGAGCAATTATCATTTTTGCAATAAAAAAACAGATATGAGAAAGGACACAGATGAGTCAACACACAAAAATAGCAACACACACACACACACACACACACACACACACACACACACACACACGCACAACAGCACTTTTCCTGATACAATACTGTAATTCTTTTGGCTTTGTCCACTGTAAGGCCACGTTTCCTTTGGTCGGGTGTACGTATTTCCTTAAGACACAGCTTATTTGGTATAAGTGGGATTACATATTCAAAAGCCTCATGGCTTTTTTAAAGTCTGCCTAAAAGTTTAATCCTTGGTAACTCTGCTATATCCAAATTCAGTTCACATTTGTTCAAGTCTTGGTCCTGGTCCTCAGGGTCCCTGTCCCACGCGGGGATCCTATTGTTAAAATGGTTTCCTATGTCACAATTGTTTTGCTCATTTTCTTGTCTGTTGCCTCCTGTTGGTGATTCCTGGATTAACCTGCTTCCCAGCGCTTCTAAGCTGCTGTGTGTTTTACTAACTCTTTCCTCCTCCTCCCCTTCTTTGAGCACATCCAGTCCTCCATCCAAGCTGGAGTCGCTGAGGAAGGAGTGGGCAGTCTGAGCGTCCTCTATGGATGGAGGTTTGTGTTCAGCGAGGCTGCTCACCAAGCCTGCTAAAGGGGTGAGGGCCATCTCTTCCTGGTCTTGGTCTAGATCCTGGTCTTTACTGCAGTATGCATAGCGGTGGTTCATGTGCTGGGAGTAAGAGCCTGAGTGGGAGAAGCGCTTGCCGCACTTGTCACATTGATAGGGTTTCTCTCCAGAGTGCAGTCGGCTGTGTTCAATCAGATGATGCTTATGCTTGAAGGCTTTATTGCAGATTTTGCACTCGTGGGGACGCTTGCCTGTAAAAAAACAAAGGGATGGCTTTATTCTAAGAAAATTATATATGCTGTTCATTCATTATATATATATATATATATATATATATATATATATATATATATATATATATATATATATATATATATATATATATATATATATATATATATATAATGTTTTGTTTTACATTTTTCATATTTATTTCAGATGTTTTTTTAAGTCTTATCCATGAGGAATGTCGCCAACTCTGCATCAGTCTAGGTATGTCCACAAATGCACTCTCTGTGATTGATATCTGTACATAAGCGGATGTCTAAGCCTATTGGCTAATGCTGAGCAGGGGGGGGGGGGATTGTCTACAGACATCTTTTATTTTCCGTGACCTACTTTTACACAATGAAAGTACAAAAGAGCTACTGCCATACAATTTATACGCATTGATACTTTCCATGTGTGAATCGGGGTATATGTTAAAAACACCTGGGGGCGGAACTTAAAGCCTATACTGAACCAGCCACTAGGGGGGCCACTTGTTTTGGTTCAGCTTTCTTTTTTGTGTTTCATCCCTGTGTGTAGTTACAATAAATGTCTATGATCTTATAATGCAGATCTCCATTCATGGTAGACTATTCTCTTTAATGTTTTAAAAAAATACTGTAATTATGGTCCATTTGCTATAAAGGTCACATGTGTAAATACAGATATTGAATGAGTTGCAGACCTGTGTGCTCGTATTTATGTCGCAGTAGCGAGCTGCTCTTCTGGAAGGTTTTTTCACAGATGTCACACGCATAAAGTCCCTCATCTGTTTTCTTCAGCCTCTTCCTTCCCGGCCCCCCTTCTCCTTCAAACCCATCATCAGTAAGAGAGAGGTAGTCCAGAGCACTACGTGATAAGGCCTCACCCTTCACAGAAAAACATTATGCGTTATATCATATGTGTGCTTAAAGCATCTTTTTCTTGTAACATGACATGAACAAAGTTTTACATTTGATTATAAAAATTCTTACCATGAGGTTTTGTCTCTCCTGGTAGATCTTTTTCAACATGGCCTCTGCATCTGCCTCCATCATGTACGCCACTGGAGAGAGGAACCCAGGACTAGCGGGTGACTGGCTGAAAGGAGTCTGTATCATCCCATCATGGCTGAAGAAGGGAAACCCATTGTATATGGATCCAGGAAACACTGGAGGTCCAGTCCCACTGAAGACTGGGTACTGGTTTAGGGGTAGATGCGAAGTAGGGCTTGGTCTGCTGAGTTGTTGGGTCCTGAGGGTTCTATCTTCTCTTCCTGAGATCCCGTTAGAGGTTTTGTTCCTCTCCTTCTGCTCTGAGAGCTGTTTAGGCAGGGAGAGGTCCAGAGGTTCATTCTGGGCAGGCCAGGGACTGCTAAGTTCTTTCTGCTGTGGGGAGATTTCAGGAGAACAGCTAATAGGGTCGAGGCGGAGAGGTGAGCTGAATCCTGAGGAGGACAATCTCTTCCTTCTCCTAGGTGATGAGGTCTCTGGGGAATGGTGCATTAGGTGGCTCGGGCTACCTTTATCCTGCGTGGAAAAGTACATGAGTGAAGGCCGTGCATCATGGCGGGGTGAAGGAGACTGCATCGCAACTAAAAGCTGTTGAGGTACGGAATGCCAGCTCAGCTTCTGCAGCGGCGACTTGTTTCCAGAGAGTCCATTGGTTACTTCATTTGTTTTGGTGTTGTCTGGTTTGAGAGCAGATCTAGGATAGAATGATGGTGGCAAGGAGTGGTTGTTCCTTCGAAAACCTTCAGGCACCTCAACCGCATCTCGGTTGTTCTTACAGAGGTGGCGTTCATGTTGCAGGAGCGAAGCCGTGTTATGGAAAAGCTGTGAGCACCAACGGCACACCAACCCCAACACATCTCTGCCGGCTTCGCCTGATCTCACTGCTCCTCCTCTCCTATCAGGGGACGCCTTTCCCTCAAACCCTCCCACGCTATTGCCCACCCTACTTTCCTCAACATCCTCCTTATCTTCTTCTACTTTTTTGTGAAGCATCTCTTGTAGCATCTGCTCAAATTTGGTCCCAGAATTGAGATAAGGCATTGGAGTCATCCCTTTCGGGATAGTGGTTCTCACAGTGAGCTCGGGTGAGCCGTCCCACAGCCTGGACATGTCTGGCACGCTGGGGAAGCTTGTGTTGTTCTGGCTGACATCCTGCAGCAACGTCTGGTGACAATCTCCTGATATTTGTCCCAAAGACCTGAGATGATCCTGAGTTGGCGAAGAAAACGCAAAGCCCTTGCCATTACTGGATCTGCCCCCGCCAGCAGAGGGAGATGATGGGAGTAGACGGTGGAAGGAGACTTGACCGTGCCCGTTAAACACACTACTGGCACTTCCTGAGTTTCCTCCACCACTAAGGCACTTCTTGCTGCTTAGATGTGAGCTGTAGGAGCCCGAGTGAGAGAAACGTTTCTTGCAGTTGGAGCACTCGTACGGCTTTTCACCTAAAAGATGAGACATGGAGAGATGAGCTAAACGCAGACATGGGTGCATTAAAAATACCTTCAGCATGGGTGTGATGTTCATCTATAATTAACGTGTCCCATAATGAATTATGTCAAGTTTTTTTTCCATCAGCACATGCATTTTGGTCCTAGTTTCATACCATATAATCAGACAGTAAGTAAAGGTTAGCGGTGCTCTGGGAACAATAGCAGAATGAGGGGTGACTGCAGCTGTTTTGATCTTATTTTGTTTCTCACCACTGTGGATACGAAGATGCTCTTTGAGGTGGTGTTTGTACTTGAATGCTTTCCCACACACCAGACATTTGAACTTCCTGGCCTCCATTCCTGGGTCCAAAGTGATGGCACTCTAGGATAACAGCACAACGTTGTCAGTGTCATGCCAAATATAATCCCACCATTCCTGTCACCCCAAGGCCTCACCCAGACTTTTCCCTGACATTTTCTGAGTTATGTCTTTTATCTCAAATTTCAACATGTTTTTTAAATTGTATTGCATCATTGGGCCATTTTTACATGCTTTTGTTTCTTTTAATTTCTTGTTATTCTGGACAACTTCTGCTATGAATGAACCAGTTTAACTTTGTTGATTTAAAATGTGCTCATGATTGACTTGACCTCACATATTGTTGATGCTTCAGTAGTTTTTCACATCAAGGTTACCACGGTAACCATTAAATCCTGCAAGCAAAAGCATCAAATCTAAACCAAACAAAGTTTTAGGACCTTTTTCCTTCGTTAACCCTTTTCAGGCTCAAAATAAGTTTTGATAAAAGCACAAACAACTAAGTCCTTCAGGGGTACTTCTGAGTTAAATAATGCTCATGAAATACATATGTGGAGTAACCAGGTAGGTAGGTTTTAACTGTTGCAAATCTGCAACACCTGCCTCCAGAGGGTTAAAACGATTCTCTCACCTTGTCATGCATTTGGTTGTGAAGCTCCAGGTGCTGCTCCATCTGCGACCTAAGGGTGGCAGTGTATCCACAGAGAGGACAGACCAGGTGCCCCCCTTCCCTCCCCTGACAGTATTTGACATGATCCCTCAGAGACACTCCTTGCTGGTACACTTGGTGGCAGAAGGGACATGCCTGCTCCTGGCTCTTGACGGCATCTAGAGTCCACCGAGAGAAAACGTTTTAAACAATCCACTTTGTTTCTTTACTTTTCCCTACTTTCTGAATGTTTTTTTTTACTCTGGGACCTCAGTAATACCCCAACATTAACCAGTTCAATCAATAAGGAATCTGCCTTTATATCACAATGTTGGATTTCGTGGAATCATTAACACAGAGGAAAATAACAAAAATATTCTCACTTTGAACCCCCAATTTTTCTTTCATTTTTAACTGAATCAACTCAGAAGATTATATTTATATATATATATAAAACTGTCACTGATCTGTGTTCAAATAGGACTGACGTTTAACATTTAACTCAACAGGTTAGCTGCAGAAACCTTCTTGTTTCTCTGTCATTTTCTTCATAGTTGTAACCACATTCAGATATTTTGGTTTTAATCAATCAATCAATCAATCAATCAATCAATCAAAGCTTTATTTATAAAGCGCCTTCCGCAACCCTGTCAGGAACCCCAAGGCGCTGAACATGGTACAGTAGAAGGTAAATATATTGAATAAATGTAAAATAAAAGCAATTCAAATGACAAAATACAAATTACAAAAAAGGTGAAACATTCTGGTACAGGACAAATGTGTAAAACAAGGGATAGAGTGAACCAATGAAAACTGTGAAATAAATTCAACAGAAAAGAGGGCCAAAATCAAACATGTTCAGGAAACGCCAAGCGGAGGAGGTGTGTTTTTCGGCGACTCTTAGAGAGACTGGCAGAGATGGGGACAGCCTAACTGAGGGTGGCAACTGGTTCCAGAGTGACGGTGCTAGGACTGACAAAGCCCGGTCCCCGCGAGTACGACACCTAGAACGGGGGACAGCGAGCAGGCCTTGGTCAGAGGAGCGCAGAGCGCATGATGGGGAGTGTCTGTTCAGGAGTGTGGCTAGATAGGGGGGACCACCACCCTGGAAGAAATGATAAACAAAGACGAGGATTTTGAATTGTGAGCGATAGCAAACCGGAAGCCAGTGCAGGGAGGCCAGAACCGGACTGATGTGGTCCCGTTTCCTGGTCCCAGTCAGGAACCTGGCTGCGCTGTTCTGCACAACCTGTAGGCGACGCAGTGATGACTGACACAACCCTGCATAGAGAGAGTTGCAGTAATCAAGCCTAGAAATAACAAAGGCATGCCGTACCCGCTCTAGGTGGGCTCTCGACAGCATATGCTTGATTTTAGCAAGGCGTCTCAGGTGAAAGAAACTGGACCGGATCACAGAATTGATGTGAGCATCAAATTTAAGTCCAGCATCAAGTTTCACCCCCAAACTGGTAACAACTGGTTTTGAGTAGGGAGAAAGAGGGCCAAGATCAAAATAACGACCCACATTCCTGCTGTTGGGGTGAAAAACAATGAGCTCTGTCTTTCCCTCATTCAGATGTAGAACGCTGGCCATTAGCCAAGACTTCACCTCGTTAAGACAGGACACAAAGGACTGGATAGAGTGACCTTTCTCCTGACACAATGGAGAATAAATCTGGCAATCGTCAGCATAGAGATGGAATGATAGGCCATGTTTACGAAAGATTGACCCCAGAGGAAGCAGATAAATGGCAAACAAAAGAGGACCAAGGATCGATCCCTGCGGAACCCCCTAGCGGAGCCCCTCCCAAGATGAAAAAACATCACCCAGTTTAACGCAGAATGTCCTGTTGTGGAGATACGATCTAAACCAATCCAGAGCAGACCCTTTGATCCCAACCCATCGTTCCAAGCGATCGAGTAGAATCGCGTGGTCGACTGTGTCAAAGGCTGCCGTCAGATCTAACAACAAAAGCACCACAGATGTACCCTGATCTATTGATAGATGGATATCATTTAGGACCCTCAGTAGAGCTGACTCTGTGCTATGGCCAGACCTGAACCCTGATTGAAAAACCTCAAATAGATTGGATATATATATATATATATATATATATATATATATATATATATATATATATATATATATAATAGACGGATGTGAGGCTGCCACACAAATTATGACTGAAATGCCAGATATCACTTTTGTCATCCTTCCTCTTTGCAGAGTACCAGTCTGACTGGTTACATACATCGGTAACGCTTCCTTTTACAATCCCCTAATTACTAAGTACTTATATGGTAATTACACAGTAAGTTAAAGTGTATTATTGTGTAATTAAAGTGTAAAATTGTAATAAGGTGTAATTATTGTGTAAAGCAGCATTTAATGGGAATGCTTAATAAAATCAAAACTAGAATTGAACCTGGGTTACATGGTAATGACTGTTTAAGAACTCAGAAACAATGAGTACGTTTACATGCAGCCAATATCCGGGTTATGATCGGGTTAAGGTCGGCATTCGGGTTTCTGAGTTGATCAGAATAACCCGTTTACAAGCATAAATAGAAAGAGTTACCTCTAACTTGCATAACCCGATGTAAATGCGGACGTTGGGGTAGCGTCAGGACATGTGGACTACGACCAGACGCAATATGCGTCATTTCCAGTTCTTCTCGTTCCGGTATCTGTGAAAACAACAACATTATTCCCAGTTCGGAAGAGATAGCGACCGCGTTTGTTTGCGCTTTAGTTTCCTCGTCACTCCGAAAGTGTGGTGCTGTGCTGCGACTCGCCATTTTGCTCCCAACTTGTTGTTTACTTCTGGAGTACTGGCGCATACAAGACGTCTCGCTACTCTAAAGACCAAGATTCCTTGCAAACAGAGCATGCGCAGAACACACGCTTTGATGGGGATATCCCGGTATGCGTTTACACGACCAAACATTCGGGTTAGAAAAGGGTTACCCCAGGTGTAGTAACCGGGTTTTTAAAAACCCGGTTATAAGCATATCCGGGTTTCTGGCTGTGTTTACACGGACCTGCGGAACTGGGTTATTGTGAATATTCGGGTTTTAAAAGGGTTACTGGCTGCATGTAAACGCACTGTATAATACACTTTAACTTACTATGTAATTACCATGTAAGTACTTAGTAATTAGGGGACTGTAAAAGGAAGCGTTACCCATACATCTTATATCTACAGGTTCTAAACTGATAACTGACCCAGACACTGAAGTTTGCATCTTCCCGGCTGAACAATTATGCAAAACTGAGTCGTAGCACCCCCCAAGGTGCTTTACAACAATCATTTACATGCTGGTGATAATGAGCTATACCAAGGGTGGGCAATCCTGGTCCTCGAGGGCCACTATCCAGCAGGTTTGAGTTGTTTATCTGCTTAAACACCAGTTTGAATCCGCTGGTGATTAACATGCTGCTGCAGAGCCTGATGAGCTGCTGAACAGGCGATTCATCCAGGAATCAGGTGTGTTGGAGCAGGTAAACAACTAAAACATGCTGGATAGGAGGAGCCCTCGAGGACCAGGATTGCCCCCTTGAGCTACACTGTAGCCACTACAGCAACCCTGGGGCACACAGACGGATTTGAGGCTGCCACACAAACACACACTCGGCTCTGCCAGTTCCCTCCAACCACCACCAGCAGGCGGGTGAAGTGCCTTGCCCAAGAACACAAGAACTACATCAGACTGAGTTGGAGGTAATGGGTTAGAGGGCACAGTGACTCCTAGATACGGTTCCACAGCCTTCACCGGTCACAGTCCCGCCCAGGCTGGGATAGGGAGACGAGTTACAATAGCGACGGCAACATTCCACATTTTTTCTGAGGGGAGAGTTATCACTTCAGCCTCACAGGCTCCAAGGGCACCAGATCCAGAAAAAATAATGTTTTGGGGATAGACAGAGATACTTTCCTCTCTGCCTTAGTGTTCTGTTGGTCTACAACCCCTCTAGATCCAATAATGGCGTAATTAATCAATCCCAATCCATGCTGATCCATCCACTTTCTCCTTGATGGAGAAGCTTATGACTCATCTCGACAATTATATGAGTTTGTGCGTTCACAGCATGATGCATTCCATCCCTGAGCTCCGGGATTGAGCCAATATTCCTCGAAAGCTCGTTAATTTTCAAGGTAAGCCAGTGCTCAGGCCAAACAGCAGGAATCCCGACACCAAAACGACGAATATCCAAACATCTTCAGAATCCTCTACAGACAGTTGAGAGAGGCACATCAGGTTCCATTGTTTGCAGGAGTCCATGATATACCCAGCTGGCTCTGTCCCAGAGGAGCATCCGGGAGCCCCTTCTCCCGTTATCATCGTTGAAAAAATGTTGTCAATCGTGTTGAGAGACCAACTGACCAGATCCATTTTTAATAATTTCCAGTTTCCAGAAAAAACGCAGAAAGCGCCGTGCACAGACAGGACAAAGAGTCTTGGGATAAAAAGGGAGGGAGAGGACAAAAAAGTGTCTGTACTCTCCAAGAGCCGGAAGTGTTTCCTTCTGTGTTTCATTTTGATTTCTCCCAAAAAAAAAAAAAAAAATTAAAACATTTCCCTGTAACAACATCCATAACATCTCTGTTTCATTGCTCTATAGTTCACAAAAACTGTCAAGAAAACATTGTTTCAATATTGTTATTCATTTCAATTTAATTCTGTTTGATATTTACTTTTCTTTCATCACATTCTGCACATTTGCTCACACTACTCAATCATTTCATGCACGGACCAAATTTTGCATGTACAGATGAGTTAAATGTGGCAAAAAATAAAATTAAATTAAAAAGAATTACATTTAAATGTGAGCAGGAAATTTTGATTGCTTTGAAAAACTTTTTGGTGAATCTTCAGTGCTTAACCTGATGTGAAAAGCCACTAATTTGCTTTCTCAGAACGACATTTGCATATAAAATCAGATACATGCATTATCACAGACATTTGCTGTCTGCTTCTTAAACAGCATTTCTTAAAATGAACCACAAATGTCTTCCTTTAAAAAGAAAATATTATATTGAAAGCAGCTTTTGATATTCGCTCACCTGCTCTCTCAGGTGAGAAGCACTGGGCTCCTGGAGACCAGATGGCAGCAGGAAGCTCATTCTGCCTGATGCTCGGATGGAACACCGCCGACGTCCCGTTATGGCTCAGGTGGTCCAAAAGACTAGCTGAGGGGGAGGCCTTCCTCAAATTGGCCACAAGTTCATAGTGATCTAGATCATCCAAAGCATTCTGGGAACCTGAGTTCTTACCTGAAGGACAGGGAACATAAACAAGAAAGTGAAAATGTTTCTAAATGCAATGTGTTCGCTGCATCTATCAAAATTCCAAAACATGCAAAAACTCAATTTTATTGTTTGCTTTACAGGGGCAATGGTGGCACCGGAGTTAAGTGCTCGCCTTATAGTTGGATGCATAGATGGTTGCTTTAAAGGCAAAAACTGTGACTGAAATGGCTGCAGGAAAAGTTTATTTTCCTTTTTTTGCATTTAGTCAGACATTTCAGTTTATTTATACAGTGCAAATTCACCACAAGAGTCAACTCAAGGCACTTTGCTAAGTAAACATTCCTGCTGAACCTACTTATCAATACACTGACTTGAGTTCATTATGCCGGTTAGTTAAATCCCCAGCACTGCATCGAGTCCTTGACTTGTGTCAGAGACACTAAGCAAGCAGGTGCAGGTCCTGCGGGGACAGTGGAGAGGAAAAATCCCCTTTAACAAAGAACAAACATATCAGTCCTTACATAAACAGTTTTGTTTAACCTGTGTTTTAAAAAAGTGATTAGTTGAAAATTTCACATTAATCAAATAAATCAAAAAGCCATTTTTGGCTGTTCAGTTTAAAGTTTGTACCCGTGATGCTTAAAAAATGATAGATTATTGTTATTTTTATATGCTGCTTCTCATCCAAGGAGCTTTATCCTCAGATGAGAAACAAAAACCTAAAGAGCAAGAAAAGAAATGTAAAGATCTTTTAGTACTTGCCAAGCTCCTGAAGACTAAGAATGGCACCAAATATGCAGCAGTATTTCAGACTATCTTGTTTTCATTAGTTGTGGCTTTTCTAAATGTCATTTAATGAAATTGTATCGCTGAGTCATAAGTGTTTGTGTCGTTTTGTGAGTTATTGTGGTCGACTGGTTGGTTGCTGTTGTTTGCGCAGTAATTTTTTTGGTTATTAAGGTTGTTTTAGTTCTCTGTCGTTTGTGTCAGCGTGCATGCTTTGTTCGCTTGTGAATCCAATCGTATGTGCAGAGAAAACAACGCCATGCGGTTGATATGTCGGGACAGAATTGTTTAAAAAAATGACATAAAACAATAAATTTATAGAGCCGGTGGATCAGATTTCAAATAAGACTTAAAGGATTTGTGTTGCTGGGCTGAGAGACGGGCGGGCGGGCAGAGAGACGAAGCCCACGATGTACACAAAGAGGAGAAGGCGCCTCCTTTCACAAGTTGGGCCAATCAGCTTTGCTTACAGCGACTCTGAGGAAGATTTTTCAAATGTTTGCAGATGTTGGCATCCTCTGAGCTGTTTCTAATGTGGTGAAGGGAAGAGCCTGTGTGGTGGAGGGCTGTAAAAACTCAGCTTTGCCTTCATCAGTTAAGTCCAAATCAAGAGAGGCGAGGAAGCTAAATGATTGTTATAGTAGGCAAGCCGCGCGAGCCTTTGATCTCTGCTAAATAAAAAGAGAAAGCCTCACATCGTGCGGCGCTGATTTCAGTACCGTAACGTCACCTCTTTGATGCATGGAAATATTGTGACATTGTGTGGGATGAGTTCTTTTGTCATGCTTTCAGAAAGCAGCCTTTTCAAAGAGACAAATGAAAAGAGGAGCAGCTTGTAGGGAAGGCTCTGTTTCACAAGGAGTCAACGTGAAGGTCTGAGAGGCGTCATGAGGAAAGGTTGTTTTTTGCATCAGAAAATAAAGTTGTTTACAGCAGAACTTACAGTACATCCTCAGAGGTTCCTGGTGCCCGTCCCTGTCAGTGGCGTCCTCCTCCGCCTTGGCCTCTGGCTCCACCGCGCCCCAGCAGGTCCTGCTGCCAGGGCTGAGGCTGCACGGCCGTGTGGACTGCGAGGGGCTGCTGGGCTCCTCCGTTGCCTCGCTGGGTGTCAGGCTCGCCTTGTCAGGGCTCTCGTTACAGTCCTGGGGCTCGAAGCTCCACAAACCCGCCTCATCCTCTTCCTCCGATCCCACAGAGCTCACCTGCTCAGCGTCCACTGTAACAGAAAGACCTGCTCGTTTAGATTTTAATTCATAGACTTTGTAAAAGGAAACTCTGAACGTGAATGAACATATTGTCATTACTGAAGTCTAGTTTCATGTATTAGTTTTTTCTTAAAATAAAATGTGTGTGTTGATTAGTATAAACATCCCAGTTGCATGGACGATCAAGAAACGACAAAAAGAAACAAGGAACTGAAATCAAACAGGGAGGATAAAACAAAAAATATACAAAACTTTAAATTCTCTAACATTTCCACGTGTGATTTTAAGAATAAAGAATTTACTTTATTATGATTTATTTTTACTTCCATTTGAGCGTTTTCTCTCTCTCTACTGTTTAAATAAGTCTTTAACAAGCTAATATGATTCTGGTCATGTTTAATATTTAATGTGGTTGTTTTTTTTTAAACTAACAGGTTTATTTAAAAATATCAAATTTTACTGAAAAGCAGGTTTTTTTGTAAGCACGATTACATTAACAAAATAAATTTTCAAGTGTTGCTAAGTCACTATAAATGTGCTTTTCTGGTCAAAAAGCATGTTATATTTTCAGAAAAAAAAATTTATTTTATATTTTCTGTGTTTTTTTAATTCTTCATTCAAAACTAAATCCTAATTTATCAGTGGCCATATAAAGAAAAATCCACAAAAGTGTTTTTTCTTATTTGTTTAACTTTTTTTATCAGAAGTTAATCCATTAGATTTATTTTTCATTTCTTTTTCCCCTTGTCGCTTTTCTTTCTCTTTATTTTTTCATTTTCGTATTTTTAAAAATGGAATTCATTTTGGTAAAAAAAAAGTTATTAAAAGTGCTGAAAGGTGAATAAAAAATTATGTTATAGTCCTAAAACATAACGTTCAACTTCTATTCAAACATTGTGATTGTTTTTAGATTGATCACAATTTTTATTATGATCTTTTCATCTTCTGTGCTTCATTAAGATTTTGTAGCTGAAACGTTCTTCACCAAAAGGTTGCTCAAAATGAAAAAGGCTCATCATAAAGTACGCAAATGTGCTCATTTTGGCTGGATTTGTGTTTTTATACAAGAACACAACATTTAGATAATCCAGCAGAACAACAGTTCAGCTGAATAAAATAAACATCCCATAATCTCTAAATACTCAAACTGCTGCAACAACTGGAAGCTGCTCTTCTTTTTCTCACGACAAAGACAATAAACGACAAACACATGCCCGAGATTTCTAAAGGCTCTTATTCCCAAATGTTTCTTTTGAGAATGCAGCTTTCCTATCGCTCTGTTGGCATCATCGTTCTCCGTCTTTAAGAAAATCACATCTCTGATTGTTGCAACAAAGTTTGAAAACAACAGAAACCCGCTGTACTTCTTACGTTTTCCTCTCAACTCAAAGTGCCTCTTTGTCTTATTTTTATAAGATCAGACTGAGAAAAAAAGATTCACACAAAACAAAATCAATGTTTTTCAATTAAAATGTCAATAGCAATTGCTGTTGGGTTTCTTTCATAATCATGAAGTTCTGACTGCGCCCTGACAGGCGGGGGGAGTAAATGAACTATTATTTCTGTTTTTAGACACAACTTACAACTCACAGCACACATGAAAAAAGGCCAGCTCCTTTTTTATAACGACTGATTGATCAGTTTTAGATGGAGAAGACAGAAACACTCAGTCTGATGGCGAAAGAGCACCAGGGGTCTAGAGGGGGGGCGGCCCACAATCACAAACACAGAAAACAGTCACAAGTCAGTGTGTGTGGTTATTGTTCGCTAGTTTGTTCAACTAAACATTTAACTCCCACTCAGGTATCGCTTTGCATCGGCTCCTTAGCCTGCTGCACCTTCACTGAACCCCCATTTAAAATACAGAGTTGTGATTCACCGGGGCCTGGCAGTCAGAGCACACTCCGCTGAGCGTACCAACAAAGGCAGGAATGACTCGTTCTCATGGGGGGTGAAATTGGTCATCAAAAACGCCATGATGTAACGCAGCGAAGCCCGAGGAGCTCAGGCCAGCCCTGCCTGACATTCCTGGGATGATGGAGCACAATGAGAGGGGAATCTGGTCTGGATTAGGCCCCAAATTGGCTTTAATTTTCTCTTTCATGACAGTGAGTGACACTGGGTCGATGTGGGTTG